AAAAATGTGTATGGAAGGATTCCAAATTTGATATTTGTTTACCTTTTAAAACAACTCAAACAAAATTTTGAGTGAAAATTTTGCGCATCGATTTGATAAAGAAACTATAGATTTGATTAATTCTAATGGCCCTTAAATTAACACCTACGTAAAAAATACTGCTAACCGTTGTGCAACGTCAGCTTCCGTTTGAATTGGCTAAACGTACTACCAAAAAATTTTAAAAATAACAGAGACCACACTACAAATTAGAAAAAAATTGATAATCGAATATACCTAGTGCTTTTTACTGTATTTTTTATTGGAAATTACATAAACTTGTAAATTATGCCCCGCATCCTAGCCACTCCTCACTTACTCAAATTAGTTAAATCAATTTTCAGAAATGGAAATATTGTGCGATTTAATTCTGACTACTAAAAATTCGTTTTACACTGTCTATGTATTGGGATGTTTGTTTTTACTAGACTAGAAGGTTAAACTTTACAGAGAAATCTTCATAAGTAAAAAAGTTGGCATTTTGGAATCTGCGCATGCACACACTATTGGTCCACACTGTACACTTATTCTTTGTGAAATTTTTATTAAAACAGATATAGAGCTTCAAAGTTGTTTGCCTACATTTTGAAAAATTCTGAAATTTCTATGTATTTTAACGAAAGAGTAATTAACAGTGATATTAGAAAATATCTTAAACTTATTGTATCATAAACCCCCCAACTTGCACCTCTACCCAAAGGGATGCATAATAATTCAACTTTCAACCCCATAGTGTTGATATTTGAATCACTGTGGGGTTGTAGAGATAATATACGTTACAGTTTTGAAGAAACTGGGGAATTTGCGTTTTGCCCATTCGCGGCGATCAGTACGAATTACGATCCCCTAGAAACAAAAGAATTTGCGTTTCGATATTCAAGTAGGCGACGAGTACGGCCCTCTAAGGTTTTTAATCATCTGAGGTTAAAGCAGCTTATTAACATTGGATTAAAAGCGACCAACTTAAAGCGCCGTTTTCAAAAAGTTGAGAAAATTAGTGTGATATTTGCTGGAAACACACAAAATTATTACCTATGAATATATAAATACAAAAATCTCACCTTTGGTGCGTAATACAGTTCGTGTACTAATTGAGAGGTTTTTGTACGAGGACATATTACACCAAAGAAGAAATGCGAGTATTTCAGTAAAGTTCTGTTACGTTAAGAAACTTGATCCAAGGTTTGCATTATGTTAATGTGACGCAGTAGTAACATTCTTTCAATTTCAACGCGATAAAAAAGAACAATCATTTAGTTTCGAACGAAGAATGCGCATTTTTGTTTATCCGTATTCAATTACGGCGAACGATTTCCGGACAAGAAGTGAATGTAAGCGCATTACATTTCAATTTTAAATTAATTAAATTAAGTGTACGAAAAGAAACAGAAACTTCCTATTTTTCTGTTTTTTGCTTTATGGTACCGAATAAAGTTCCCTAGTCATTAACAAATCCCCAACGTTTCGCTATGTGCGAAATTTTCCCCGGAGTACACATTCCATAGAGGAGATTTGAAACCTGTAGCCGTTTTTATACCTTAGATGGAGCCATCTTATAAGCGTAAGTCGGTTTGGTGACGTAAATTACGAGAAAAAAATTTTGTAAGATAAGAACGCGAAAGCAAGAATCCAAATATCACATATTTTATATTATATGCATAAGATAGTTCTTATATTATATTCGGAAGGTTGTTAAAGAAAGTACAAGCAATATTAAAGTATATACAATTGAAATATCTTACATGGTGGTAATTATTACTTGTTTGTGAGAGAAAATGAACTAATTAACTTTTAATTTGTAAAGATTATTAAACTTTACTGGTTTTCACCAATTCTGTTATTAGAGTCCGAGTTGACAGTCTGTTCTCTTTTTCGAGTACGAATCGGCCTGAAAAGAGTTAAAAACCGCAAAAGGAAACATGTGCGGTTTATAACGGCTGTATAAAACGAATTGGGAAAAAGATGTAGATACAGTATTTACACGAACACGAAAGGTAACCAAACATTATTTATTATTTGATTTAACTTTTTTTTTATGAAATACGTTTTGTGATTATCTATTACAATGATCATGTTAAACAAAACACGCTACAGAAATTAAAATATCTGTCTGGAAACCGAAGCAGCGTTAAGAGAAGATCCACTCGTACGTCAACCTTTCCCCTTCACGAATTGTTTAGTTTTTCAATATTTCAAAAATGCGAGGGTTATTTTATGGTCTACATTAATCGAGAGGGATTCGTACTTTTTTGTCAGTCTTCTATTCCATAAAATGAGAAACCTTTATAATTTTTTAAAAAAACACAACGGCAAGGCCTAATCTTTTCGTTGACATTGCTTCCGAAATAATAAAATAATAATGGAAAGAAGACGACCCAAACATCTCTACTGAAAGGTTCATAACGCCACATTGGTGCTTTTCATAGCCCTGAAAAATTTTTAGACAGCTAGATAACCAGAGAGAGTCTTCTAAGACTGTGGAAAACGTGTTGGGAGGTTCTACAGGACCTTTTGGGGAGCTTTTCAGAAGTTTATATCACCTCCCAAATCAGACCTTCCACTTTCTAGATCACAGATTCCAGTGCATTTTTAGCAGCTCATTAGAGAGCTTTGAAAAATGCAAAGACAGTTCTTAAAGTTAAGGGTGAAATAGCCAATTTGGACAGGTTCATCAACAGTCAAGAGCTTGCTCAGAAAGTAGATGAACTAATAGCGCACAACTTCGGCTTCCAACAAGAAAGTAATATGATTACCAAACTGTTTCTTCGATGTGTAGTATGAGTAGTGAGTTAGAGAAACAAATACAGTTTTTGTACTTCTTTAAATGTTCATGGGTTTTGCATATTCAAACCAATTTTTCAGGTATTTTTTTATAATTTATAAACACTGTCCATTGGAAAATTATTTAAACTACATTTAATGATAGAGTTCTTGATGTACAATAAAATATCGCGATCAGCAGTGTTGCGAAAGAATTCAACGTTAAAATAATCTGTCAACGGTTAGACAACGAGTTTGCATCGCATGTAACTTGAGTTGTACAGTTTTTCGGCACTTTAAACAGTGGAATCAACCATGATTAGGCGATTAAATAAATTCACCTCGACATAAACTACACGCAAATTCAAAACCATTCCGGAAAGGAAGATGTTTAGTAAGATTTTTGGGAATCCCGATTTGTCGTAGGGACAAAGCGCGAATTGCAGTGGATTCGTGGAGAGCAATAGAGTTGTTTGCCGTTGGATCGCTAATTAATTATGAGACAGGTACATCTCGGATGATAATTAATTTCTGTAACTTCTCAATACCCCCCTCATAAAGACATGAAATCACCTTTGTGCTCATGTAAATACCACAATTACGCAATTTGAACTAGATCAAAATATCCTTATGAAGCTACCATTAGTCGCTTCACTGGCAAATATCATTTAGTAATTACGTATGGCTTAATGCTCTTTGCCCATTGTATAAGCACAAGGATTCCATTAACGTGACTACTTCAGTTTCATCAAAACGTTACTTCTAAATTGATTTGTGAGTGCAGCGAATGTTAAAATATTTCTCGTATTCAATTTTGTAGAAAGCTTAAAATAAAAATTCGTTGTGCATTTGAGTCCCAAATCTCGGACACGTCAAACGTTATTTCCCAATAGGGCTTCGGTTCGAAATATTTTTATTCCTTTTCGTCGCGCTCATCATCCGCACTCAAAATGTATTACTGTTTTATTAATGACTCTATCGTCGCAAAGCAAGACTCAATTCGAATTTAATTGAGCCTCAAGTAATAAATGTAGGTTTTCCGCGTACTCACCAGAAAAGGCAGAGTGAAATTTACTTATCATTTATCATTTATGTATCAATTGTTTGATCGACTTTCTCAACCAAGTCTTAAAATAGGCGAATATTTGCATGCGCTGAACGACATTAGGGTGAATTTTAGGCATAGTCATTAATTTCATCGAGCTCGAAAGAAATTTTCTTTGGGAATCTATAACTTCGATCAACTCAAAAATGCTAAAAAAGGCATTAATTTTCAATTAAAAATTAATGTAGTTAAGTATAAATTTGCATTGACTTAGTGGTTGCGTTCAGTTTTCCTAATGAAACACGAGATGCCTACATAACTTCGGCGCTTCTCGAAATGGGGCGCTAAAAAACAAATTATCTCATTTAAACGGAAACGTAATCTAAATACTTGTTTGTGTTGTGCTTTATAATTTTTTCCGAAATTGCCGAGAAGGAAACAAAAGATTGAATAATTCATTTTACTTTGAATGCCATATTTCGGCAGTAATCAGTAGCATACAATTCTCAAGGACTCTTTCGTAATGAATTTTGAAGTACACAATTAGCAAAACACAAAGCTACTTTTTTCTACTTCTAATTCTGTTTCCAACATTCTAATTGAAAATTAACTCAAGTTGTATGTTTCGAACGGAAATCTCAAGCCGGCGAAAGTTATTAACTTTGCCGTTCTCTTGTGTCCGGGAAAGAATTGCGCCAAAGCTCTTCAAGTATCATTTATGGGTAAATGTAATGTGTTTTCACTTTTATAAACTTCTTGGCGCTGTGCCTTATTAGGTTTGTTATAAAAGACGCGTTAGCTAATCGAGTTGTACAAACTTGATAAGAATTCCGGTGAGATGTGTAAGTGAGAATTACAAAATGTTGTAATATGATAATGCAAAGGTGGTACAGGTATTCCCAAAACAATATAAACTCGCCTATAAACTTTCATTGCCTTTGGGATAGCATTTTCAATATAACTTTTATATGAATTATTAATGGAAGTATTAAAGTAATTTGTGGAAGCAGTAAGACTTTATTGTTGCACAAACTTTAAACAGTTTGTTGGTGCTCTAAACTTTTTAAATCTGTCAAAAGCTATAGTTAATGTGATTAAGCAATTCATGAAACATGTTTTGGTTGTATTCAGTTTAAAGAATAAAATGCGCTCCTACTATTTTCTTTCTGTAGATCCACTAAGTCTAATTCCACTTCGATTTGTGGTACCGTTCACAATACAGAAATGAAAATCCTTTTCTCATTGTCCATTTTATCACTAGCAATACGAGTAAAAGTAATTCCGGGAAACTGCCACAAACGCTCACCAAACAGTTAGACCAACGTAAATACGGAATGTTTTACGTTTCGTTTACCGATGAAATTACGTGAGCGTCGCAATGGTCCACGAGGTACTGGTAGAGCCCAGCTTCACCGCCGATAGCGCCACGACGCCGGACGGCATTATCAGCAACTATTCCAACTTTCCACTTCAGACGCCCTAGAAACAGCTTTTCCACATTGTTTTGGGGCTTTCTTGTGTTTTTAAACTGCGAAAGGAATTTCTTTTAAATTTATCTCGAGGGAGCGCACTAAAACTGTCCATTTGCAATGCACTGTTATCAAAACCGCCTGAAATAGGATGTTTCCTCTATAACACTAATAGCCCGCGTCGCGTGCATTTGTAGAAGTCGAGTGACTAGGTAATGCAGGGAAGCTCGCTAAAGTTAAATAGCAACGTTCTCTACTTGTTAATATTATTACACGAACATATTAGTGTTTTTTCTTGTGCGCTTCTAGAACTTTCCAGGACCTGTACAGTTTCTGTTTGGCATAGTTGGTATAAGTTTTAAGCGTCTTCGGAAAACAATTCTAAATTGGTACAAAGCTAACAAAATTTTGCACAAATTAATTAATCGAAACCGAACTGCGTACATCAATTCTACAGTGAAAAAAATGGTAATATGATATTTTAAGGGGCAAATAAATTAATCAACTCCGACATTTGGATGTGTTACAAGAAAATCAATTTCCAGATTCTCGGATTTCAAGACAGCCACGGGAGGGCGGCATTACGTTTATTTGGTACCCTGTCAACGAAACGGGGTTGCGGTTCCTAAAATCGTAGAATTTCGGATTTACAGTATACAAAATGACGTCGTGTTGCGTCAGCTAAAATTTGGCCGGGATGTTCCAGTAAGTACAGCGCTTAATACTCTTATTCCATAGGCGATCAGTAAATTCGAATTAAAGAAGGTCCCGCAGGATTTTTAATGTTAATTATATTTGAGGATAATCTATGAGATAAGTTTTTTATTTTATAACATCTGATCAATACTAATCCGAAGTAAAAATTGGGCCAATTTCAAACTTGTAAATAATAGGCTCTAGTTTTTAACGTAACACAACGAAGTTGAGATAACGCTTATGTGCTCGATTTTCCGTCGTCTGTCTGTGTGTCTGTCTGTTTCGTTGAGATTTCGGCCCCTGGGCCACCTAGAAACTTCGGGTTTTTGCTAATTGATAGCTGCTATGGTTTATACTTGCCCGTTACTCATGAGTTACTAATGGGAAACAAACATGAAAAACCCACGGTTGCCAACCGTCACAGGACAAAATGGCGCCAAATTCAAATTCGTGCCTACTTCCTGGACACCCGTTATAATATGAAATGTACAGCTCTTAAGAAATTAGAACCTATGTTACTAAAAAGCTCATTACGTTGTACTGATCAGAAATTATACAATAAGAACAAATGGTGATTGTTTATCTCATTTGTTGATTTTATATGGAATGACTCTTACACCAATGTTTTTGTTAGTGATGCATCCTTTGTACCGAAGAATACAGTCTATTTTTTATTAAAGGAGAAGTATAGAACAACTTCTAAAAAGCATTACGCGGGTCACTCTGTAATTGGGAGAAAGCCTGTTGAGGGCCCAGAACAAGAGAGGGACAATAAATAAATAAAAAATAAATAAATAAACCCCCCATTAGTGTTATATGATTTTATTGTTATAGAGGGGGGTACATACGTCAGTTTCGCCATGTAAACGGGAGAAGTAAAATTGAAAACAGTTACAGAATAAAAAATTGCAGGTAAGAAAACAAATTTCTT